CGGAGCTTCTGAAAGCGGGTGGAAGACCGGTACTTGAAGTCCTTCAGAAGCTGTTTAATTCCGTCCTCCATGGTGGCATTACACCGGAGGCGTGGAGCAGAAGTGCGGTGGTCTTGTTCTTCAAGAAAGGCGACAACGCTCTCTTGAAGAACTACAGACCGATTTCCCTTCTGAGCCGCGTCTACGTGCTGTTTTCGAGAGTCATTACGAATCGTCTCGCGCGCAGACTTGACGACTTCCAGCCTCCCGAACAAGCCGGTTTCCGAAAAGGCTTTAGCACCATAGACCACATACATACCCTTCGGCAAATTGTACAGAAGTCCGAGGAGTACAATTTGCCACTATGTCTGGCGTATGTGGACTATGAGAAAGCCTTTGATTCCGTCGAAATTTGGGCGGTGCTGCAGTCCCTTCAGCGATGCCAAGTTGACTGTCGGTATATCGAAGTGTTGAAGTGCTTGTACAGTAGGGCTACGATGGCTATCCGAGTACAGAACCAGAGTACGAAACCTATCCAATTGCAGAGAGGTGTAAGACAGGGTGACGTCATATCCCCGAAACTCTTCACCGCTGCATTGGAAGATGTTTTCAAGCTTCTGGACTGGAAAAGATACGGTATCAACATCAATGGCGAGTACATCACTCACCTTCGATTTGCCGACGATATAGTCCTTATGGCAGAATCGCTGGAGGACCTAAGCACTATGCTCAATGACCTCAATAGTGTTTCCCAACGGATAGGTCTTAAGATGAACATGGACAAAACAAAGATCATGTTTAATGTCCATGTCACACCTATGCCGGTAGTTGTTGGGAACACTAAGCTCGAAGTTGTTGACGAGTATGTTTACCTGGGACAAATAGTCCGACTAGGTAAGTCCAACTTCGACCGAGAGGTCAATCGACGGATTCAACTCGGTTGGGCAGCGTTCGGGAAATTACGGCACATCTTCTCGTCAGGTATACCTCAAAACTTGAAAACGAGACTGTACACCCAGTGCGTGTTGCCAGTGATGACATACGGAACTGAGACGTGGTCCTTCACTGCTGGCCGGATGAGGAAGCTCAAGGTCGCTCAGCGAGCTATGGAGAGGGCTATGCTCGGAGTTTCTCTGCGTGATAAACTCAGAAATGAGGATATCCGCAGTAGAACCAGAGTGACCGACATAGCCCAACGGATTAGTAAGCTGAAGTGGCAATGGGCCGGCCATATAGCTCGAAGAACCGACAACCGATGGGGAAGAAAGGTACTCGAGTGGCAGCCTCGTACCGGCAGGCGAAGTGTAGGGCGTCCCCCCACTAGATGGAGTGACGACCTGGTAAGATTTGCAGGAAGTCGATGGATGCAGGTGGCTCAGGACCGTGCTTTGTGGCATTCTTTGGGAGAGGCCTATGTTCAGCAGTGGACTTGTGAAGGGCTGTAATGATGATGATGATGATATTAAATTATTCCTTAGTAATCTTTTTTTATAGTATAAGACTGACAAACGAGCACACAGTCCACCTGATGGTAAGTGGTTGCTGTGGACCATAGACATCTACATCTATCCACGTTTGCGAATCAAAATGCAGATGCGTTATCAACCGTGAGGACTAAGATGGAATGCCTCGTTTCCAGTAAAAAGGGTCTCCGGTTCTCTACACTCACCATACGAAATACAGCAGCTTTAAGTTGCTATTTTTCACTGGTACTCTGTGAGAGCGTGGTCCTTCCCCGGTCGAGCCGACCCATTCGTGCTACAACTATACTATTAATATAGCTGCAGCATGGCTCTACCACGTCTAGAAATAATTTATAGGACTCCTTTCCTGCCTAGGCGTCTGTCTGGATAGCTAACACCCTTTTACTTATTGCCGTCAAGCAGCAGTGCGTGCGCTACTGGTTCCGGTCTGATGGGTATAGGGAACTAGTATTAACAGGCTGAGAGATATTCCATCTTAGTCCTCAGTGGTGAAACCGCATCTGTAGCCTTCTTTGTTTAAAGTTAGTTGCAGGTTTCTTTGCGCTGGAATAACCTCTTACCATCAGGTGGACCATTAGTGCGCTTTTCGCTTTTTCGCTCAAGTTTTATGAAAAAACAACACTGTTACCTTTATCAAATAAAGAACCCAGATGTGCATATCAAGTAGCAAAATATATCAATTAGCTAATTTTCTTTATGCTAAGGCTATATATAATAAGACGATAAAGTGAGATCAATCTAGTTTTTTCGTGCTTTCACTAAAACTGCCGAATTTATCAGCTTTTGATTGCATAAACTAATGCAACCGTAGTGCAGAGTAATCAGTAGACGTAATGGTATTTTTTTTTACCAAGCTGAACGTTAAAATATTTCCTAATTTGACTGTAAGTATCACTATAAACCACGAGAAGGACCCATTTTAACAGAAAACTATTTGTAAACTGAATTGCTAGCGATTATATTTCCCTACCAATGTTGGGCTATATGGGTTATATCATAAGTTGCCGTTTGATAAACCTCAATAATAGTCATTCCTCAACTAGGTTTAAATCCAATTTGTTTTTAGTCATGACCTCGTCCCCAATCTCAGTATTGGAAGACTCCAGTCTTGACGATTTCATAATCTCAGTTAGCTATTTTATTAGCCATTAAACAAAGTCGAACGCTTCCATCGCTTTCAAAAGAGTACAGATAAAACGTCTAGTGATAAATACGTAAGGAAACTGCGTGGCACTGTGCTTCAAGTGTCTAACCGAATAATGCATGCCAGGTCCTGACGTGGTATCCAAACTCAGCCGGAGTAAATATTTATTACTTTAACACGTTATAATTTTTATCAAATCGTGTGAAAACTAAGGAATAAATCGCAAGGCCACGTTGACGGTCGGCAACACATAAAAATACTTTGGTTTAATAGGCATGTCTTTTACTTAACATTTAGTTAATTCGTTGTTATTGTATAACGTTAAAGTATTGTCTATTAATTGTGTGTTGAAGGAACAAAAATATAATATTAAAGCGGCCTGGAAGAAGCGACCCCGAAGGATACCTATTGCAGGTAAAAATTTTAGGCGCTAGTAGAACATACCTACGCGCTTTGCGCTAGGCATCCAAAAAACTGGCCAAATTAATGCGTGTCGGGCTACGCACAATGTAGAGATAGGGTTCCATAATTGCCTGTCACGATACGTGGGCTTTATAATACAAACGCAATTTATAATAATGAGCATAATAAGCGAATTAGCGGTTTAACCGCTATAACAACTAAGAATGGGCTCAAATAGGAAGATCGTAACTAAAGGACTTATATTCAAATCAGACTTATAGGTATTCAAAAAATATTTAAAAAAAATCGATTTTGAAAATAATGCAATTTACATCAAATCATTCACATGCCAAGGTACAAAGATTATATTTGACGATATTTGACTATCTATCTATATATTCCCGGCAGTGCAACTCTAAGATATACATATATGATCGTAACCAACCTTCACGTAAACCACCATTACCTTATATTATCCTGAGGTCACCCGCGTAAACCAAGAGCGTAACGAATGAAACTGTATGAGGCTATATGATTGTATGAATACTTTGAATGAGGCCTGCAATAACTGCCAACTATAAAATAAGTGAAATTAGTAAGTAAGAAAGAAAGATCCTCCCTGCTTATGCCGCAAATTAAAAAGTAAAGCTACAGTAGTAATGTATAACATAAGTGGTTTTCTTCATATAAAATGTTTATTTTTAACAGTTTAAAATAATATTACAAAGTTATAATGCAGCTAGTTTTAGGTCATTTTCTATGGAGCTGTTACGAAATGTTTACTAATCCAAGTGCATTTTATAAGTTGGTCGACTATTACTCGTTTATTTCTTACTTCTACTTAGCTGTAATAGTTTTCCTTTAAACTTCATTATATATACTACTAACGTGTATAGTTTTTACATTTCCAAAAACAGCGGCTTAGTTGGTAGAGAGGCGACACATGACTCTAATGAAAAATACTTTAAAGCTAAATATTTCGCAAACGGGCCCCTGAATCGAAAAGATGTTGTTCCACACACCCAGTGTTTTTAAAAGACTTATTCAACGATACCCCACATGATGAAATAGACAGGTAAAAAAATCATCCTCCATTTACTTGTATGGGACGTCAAAAATAAAAATGTTTTGTAAGATTTTATTTTACACTCTTCTAGACGTGATTAATATATATAACTGTGCTAAATTACAGATTTGTAGCACCTAGGGTCTCTGAGCAAAACCGCTGACGGACGGACGGATGGACAGCTTTGGCGAAACTATAAGGGTTCCTTGTTGTGTAACTACGGAACCCTAAAAAAACCATATCAAACTTATCTTTATTTAAAATTTAGAACTACTTATAATTACTTCTATCACTAGTCATCGACTGTACAGTACATCTCTAAGCGCCACATGAGAGCCCACAAGCACAGACGTTCACTCGATCCAACGCATCTACACCATCATCATTATCATACATTATCCAACGTTGAATAAAAGGCACTCCTAAAGAATGCCACAAAGCACAGTCTGAGCCACATTTAGTGACTTCCAGGGGGAAAGAAACCAGAAGATGGACAGCAGCATCCTTCTAATAATAACTAATCAAATATCTGGTTTTGATTTGAACGCAGAACCTGCATTTGGTCACTCTGACTGCTATACCATTTTTCATATTCATCTAAACATATCACTATCGGTAAGCCCTTTTCTATTTTACATAGTGAGTCACTATTCCCTTATTTTCTTATTGGTCGAAAAACAAGTATTAAAATTAGTATTACTCACTTTTACGGGTGGGTAAGAAAATTACATGTTTTAATATCTGAGTCACTGGAGCAAAAAATATCGCATACGATAATTTCAACCCCAAACTAACTAACCCTTCGACAATATTCGCGTGAATAACAAGCGCACGAAATTTTATATTTCAACAATGACGTATAAATTAAATATAGCGCGCGATCATTTTGTCACTGGAGTCTACTTGAAACGCACTGCGCATGAGTGAGAGAGTCGCGATGAGATTTAAAATTAGCACTGTCCGGAATTTTGCTGGCCTATTTCAATTCCATCGCAAACGGCAGATTTGAGCAGATATATCCTAATTTAATACGATTATCGGCGAAAGATAAATCTATCAGCGATGTTTTGATAGAAAACACACTTCCCTTCGACGGTGTTTAGTGATGTGACATGTGGATAGTCATTTCGTGAGTGCAAGTGTCTCAGAAAGAAGTGTAAATTAGTGCAGAGACAAAAGAAGAAAAGTAAAATAAAATGCGAAGATATTTACTGTTGACCACATTATTGTTATGGAAGCAAGGTAAAAAAATTTAATTCATTAAAATAGCGATGAGATAACATTTAACAACAAATGTTTTGCTTGATCAATTTAATATTATTGAAATACATAACGTTAGTGCTGGTATTTTCATACAATATTTAATTCCACCAACATTTCAGAGTCCACGTTATTCTTCAATCACGTTCAATTCCCTTGACTCTAAAAATTACATTAGAGACAATTACTTCATTACAATAATTCACTGATTGTTATAAACCTCTCCCACTGTAGTAGTTTTATTGTAATTATTATAACTAATCACATGCTAAACCTGGTTCCATGTACCATTTATTTACTTCTTATTTCTTTCTTTGTTTCTGTTTTTAATAATAATATTTATTAACTCCCAGCTGTTGTAATGAGGCCGATTTTCCAAAGTCGAAATTCTGACATATCTTGATATTTCAAAGTCTCTAACATCAGATGATTTTCCCATGTACGCTATGTACGTTGAGGTTGAGTTTGATTGAGGGTGAGTAAGAAAATTCAGCTTATTATCTCATTCAACGGTTGATTGCTAATTTTATTGGACTATTTATAAGAACTAAATAATGATATCAAGCAGTTTTTAGTTGTGAATAATTTGAAACTGAAAGCTAAGCCGATAGATGCAGATGGCTTATGACCGTGCTGTGAATCTTACAATTGATTTTCCCTTTGTGATTAATCACGGTGAAAGCATTTATTATGTAAGAATTTAATAGAAATTCATATTTTTTATTCCATTTTAGGGTAGGGTTTTGTCATTTTCTACTGGGAAGTTTGTAGCGTTGACATCCCGGGTCTCATCCATTTTCTTTTTTCCTTTATATATCTTCCTACCCTGATAAAAACAGTGGTGTGCAACCCAATCATGCCTCTTTTACTGTATGAAAATGTTTTCCACTTCATCGTCATCATCATCACCAGCCTCGTTCAGTGCAACTGCAGAACAGAATCCTTTCCAAAAATACCCCTCTGATGTTATGCATTTCTTGGAAAATTTAAAACTATGGGCATTATAAACGAGCTAAACAGTGAACACACAATTCCCATCCACCAGTAGTTTATAGATGTAGATGGTTTTTCTGCCATCACTCCTTCACTGGAGTCTCCTTCATTAATTAATAGAGTACACCACGTATAGTCGAGGTTGATAAATAAATAAATAAATATCATTTTATTGCCACTTTTAAACACATGTTTACATATAAACTAATTATTTAACCTTAATTTAATTTAGGCAAACGGAGGTGACTCAGCTTTTGCTCACATGGAACTAGATCCCATGAAGCGCTGGTTTTCAGGCACTCCTTCTTCCCTGAGATGTTACACGGGTGTTATGAGAATTTCGAGTTCCCCAATCACCTCTTTCATTTACTCATCTATCATTGGAATTTAACATGGTATGGTTGTGAACTTTCATAATTATTAATTAATCAGTTAATAATTCTTGCATTCGTGCGCACGCGCGCGCGCGCACGAGTATGTGTATGTGTGTGTGTGTGTGTGTATGTGTGTGTGTGTGTGTGTGTGTGTGTGTGTGTGCGCGTGCGTGCATGTGTGTATGTGTGTGTGTATGTGTATGTGTGTGCGTGATTGTACAGTTTATAATATAAGGGGATGTTTTATAAGGGTTATATCATAATGTTAAAAAAAGTCTCTTAAGTTTATATATTTCCAGTAGGTATGTTTCAAGTTTTCTGCAGCAATTTGCCGCTTCAGCAATGCTGATTTATATTTAGCTTTGAAACTTTCCGTACTCATTTTATTTCTCATAGGAGGGGGCAAATCGTTCCATATCCTTGCTGCAACAAACTTGAAACATCCTCTGTACCGCGTTGTTTTATGTTTTGGCATACTTAACATGTTTAACGAGTTCGTACGAAGGCTTCTATGTGAAATGTCTTTGATCCATAGGAGTTTTTCAAATAGGTACTCAGGCTTTTTGTTCCATATTACCCTATGCACTGTACAAGCGTACTGAAGCTCCCTTCTAGCACTCATGTTAAGTAAGCACTTTTTATTTAAGTACGGGGTAATAGATTCTCTTTTGGGCACATTAAAGCAAAAACGAACACATGCATTTTGCACTCTTTGTATTGCCCTCTCTGTGTTAAACTTTAGTCTTGGACCAAAGGTGGAACTGCAGTAATTAAATTGAGATAGTACCAGGGTATCACATAAAAGTATCCGTAAATCCTCCTTAAGATATGGTCTGATTTTGTAGAGCGTTTTCAGCTTGAAAAATGCTGTCCTTATTTTGTTATTAACGTGATCAATAAATTTTTGTTCCCCATCTAAAATCAGGCCGAGATTACGGGCAGAGGTTACTTGTTCCAGAATAACATTATTTATTGTTACTTTTTCTCCAACGTCTAATACATTTTTTATTTGGCGTTTAGTGCCTAAGACCAACATTTGAGATTTGGCTGCATTGAGAACCAAAGAGTTATTTTCAGACCATGTGTGGATACTTCTCAGGTCATCATTAACTTTCTCAATAGCTTTTCGAGCGTCTTTACTGTGAAACGAGTAGTACAGTTGTGTATCATCAGCATATAAGTGATATTTAGAAAACTTTATATGCCTAGGTAGATCTGCTGTAAAAATTGTAAATAGGACTGGACTAAGTAGAGAGCCTTGAGGTACGCCGCGCTGAACTGACCTGAGACACGACCGTCTTTTTTCTCCGTATTTGTCGTCAGTTTCTACCATTTGTTCTCTATTAGCGAGGAAACTGTGAAACCAGAGACATGTATTCTTTGAGAATCCATAGCAACTTAGCTTATCTAAAAGTAGTTCAGTTTTCAAACAGTCAAATGCTCGAGAATAATCAAGTAATACCATTATACTACTCATCCCCATATCCGAAGCCTCGGTCAGGTCGTCTGTGACGTGTAAAAGTGCAGTTTCTGTACCATGACCCCTGCGAAAGCCCGACTGAAATTTAGTTATTACATCTCTGGTTTCTAAGTAGTTCAGCACTTGATTTAACACTACTTTTTCTAAAACTTTAGATAGTACTGGCAAAATCGAAATAGGACGCAAGTCTTTTATTTCGGTAGGAGAATTTTTTTTAGGTATGAGCCTTACCAGTGCTCTTTTCCAACATGATGGAAAAGTATTTGTTTCAATTGACTTATTCAGTATCCTCGTAATAATAGAAAGAGTCACATCTAGAGTCAGCTTAATCATCCCTATACTAATGCCATCGAGTCCCTCTGCATTGGTCTTTATATTATTAATAATAACTTTTACTTCTTGTTCTGTAGTAGATTTTAGGACCAGCATGTCAAGCTCTGGTGTATCAATTAAACTAGTGAAGTTTTTTTGAACAACTGTTTCGTTACTGACTGGTAAATTCAAAAAGTGGTCGTTGATTTTATTGGGGTCATTAAGATGTTCAGGAATTATGGATTTGTGCACGTAATCAAACTGGGTACTGTTTTTTATGTTTTTCCAAAGTAGAGTCGGATTTTTCATATTGTTATTTACAAAATTGTTATAGTAGGCTTTTCGTTCTCTTTCAATTGTTGCGGTAACAAAATTTCTTATATTTCGGTAATAATCTTTCGAGCTGTCTTTTTTGTCTTTCTGCGCTTTCGTTAGAGCTTTATCGCGAAGTTTCATCATAAAATTAACCATGTTTGTAATCCATGGTTTAGGCTTATCTTTGAGAACAACCTTACGAATTGGTGCATGTATGTCAAATAATTTTATTATATACATGTTAAAAGTTTTAACCATTTCATCTACATTGTGTAGATTATATATAGATTCCCAGGGAATAAGTTTTAAGTCCTCTGTAAACTTATCTTGATTTATATTATATAATGGTCGTTGAAATCTTACTTCTTTGTTTAACTTGGGTTTTTTGATATCTAAATCAACAATTACTAATGCATGGTCACTTAAACAGTGGTTATGTATCACATCAATATTTTTGCATTTTAAAGGGCTGTCAGTCATAATGAGGTCTATTATGGTTTGGGAATGGTCGGTGATTCTAGTCGGTTCCTTTACGATATATAAAGAAAACGTTCCCGCTTTCACCCCATCGTAATAACTTAATTTACGTACTCGTCCACTAATGATTCGATAAAAACTATCCTATCTCTCAAGTTGGACCAAACTGCACACAGTGTGCAAAATTTCATTGAAATCAGTTCATTAGTTTAAGAGTTCATCGCGGACAAACAATGTGACACGTAATTTTTATATATATAGATATACATTATAGAATATATATTTTATAGTTATTAAAGTTATATAGTTATCACTATATATAGTTAAAAATAAATTTATAAGTGGGTTAATATGATTTATTAATTGGCTGTTGCATCAAATATCTTTTTCCTAAACTAGAGTAGAATTGAGCTCCATTAGGAACATGTTATTCACCAACAGTTGAATGAATGCAAGTGTTATATAGGGCAGCTCCAAGTCAATGTAGCCTTCCTGAGTTATACGTTTCTCGTTAACTGACAAGCCTATGCATCTGAAAATATTCTTTTGTAAGTATTGTAATTGAGTAGGCGAAGAAATGTCACCAACCACACTTGAGTTTCAGTTTGACACTCTTAAACTGGAGATTTATGTATTTCTTACCGCAATAGCTATGAAGGTTGTAACAAAATTCAAAATATATACCATTATTTAGAATTGATTGAATATATACCATTATTGGAAATCTAAATTTGTTTATTTTGAGTATTCCGGAAACTGGGTTAAAATTAAGACAACTCATCCGCAACCATTAAACAAATAGAAATAGATCCTCAGTGATCTGTTTTTAACTGTCGGTAGGATTGTATACTAATAATAAATCGTTTCGTTTGCTGTTATTGTATTCAGTTGTTCGAACCTTATCCTGCTACTTCTTCTTCATCATCATCAGCCTGTAAAAGTCTACTGCTAGATATGCCACCCACCCCCCTCCCTCCCTCGTTGTAGGAAAGATTTGCCTAAATCGTCGCACGCCTGCCAAGCGAATTGCC